GGTTGACCACGTTTTCGCCTAATAGAACGCGCTTTGTCAGAAGTCCTCTGTCATAGTGATTAGCATGCGTCCCAGCATCACCAAGTCCACGGTCTGATGTTGGCAATTATGACAACTACTATGGCAGACGACTTCGGACAAGGTACGTTCTACTCGGTCGCCCTGACAACAAGACAAAGTTTGCGAAAACGAGGTCAACCCACTTTCCTTTTTTAAACCATAGCTTTTGAATGGACTTCATTATTTTTAGAAATTCCTATTTTGAATACGAAGTAAAATGATATTCACTATTAAAATCATGCCTAAACTTTGATTCACTGTAATATTTGCAAATAAGAGACAGCTATACATGAAACGATGGCTACTATTATGACAATGATGTCAGTAAGCATGAGGAAATTGGCTAAAATGAAATATGCAACGCTTACTCGCGTATGTCTGAAAAGCGTTTACACAGGATGGCTTTCAGCTTTATCCTTTGTAGCATTGATTGCTTTCGAGGGTCTGCATCTTCTCCTTTACCCTCTAGACTAGTACTGGCCTTAATGAGAACCTTAAATGCCTCGGTAAGGGCACTAGCTGCTTTTTCATAATTCTGCGAATCTTCGATTTCAGCCTGTAAAAATAAATGTAAATTCATTAAGTATCAGAATAGTAAAAACACGAGCTTTAATCATTCATGGTAGAACATAATTGCCATTTTTTGCATAGGAAATTTGATTTTGCACGAAAGCGGAATTCACTCTTATCACTAGAGTAAATTTAGGATAGCTTAAAGCTTTAGGAGTGATTTTCTACATAATCTGGCATACACTAAAGAGGCCCCTTCACAAACCTATACCCTTTATATGATAAAATTATTCGAAAATTAAAAAGGAAATGAACCATAGCTAGATTGCCTTAGGTCTCACATTGCTGGGCACTATGAATGAATGCAGAAATTTAGTCTTATATTTAAAGGTTATCATCCATATCGAACCCTAAGAAAAATATTTATCCAAAGAGGTTTAGAAGCGACTATGGAGCAGTTGGATATTGGCTAGGCTTATGCCATTACATATTTAATAAGTTTGATGAAAGATCAGTTTTGCACTATACCTTGAAAGAAATCCAATTAGATCGGGTAAATAATTCTTATGGAGTGATGAAAGAGCGACGCAAGCATACACTTTTATAATCAGTATATCATAGCATATTTATAAAGCGACAGGCAAAACTTCATTCAAAATTACGATTTCAGGCAAATTGTTGAACCGATTTAATGTATTACATAGTCAAATGACAGGGATTGCTCCCAGATCACACTTATCTAAAAAATTGTAACCTTAAATATATTATCATAATAAGGTGTGATGGATTTTGTTTGCTTACTTCTGGCAGAAATGTACTTGATACGTTAGATAAAACAGTGGTTTAAGATAAATGCTTGCGAATTCTTGGTATTAGTTGTAAGTGTTCTCAATAATGGCTACTTGGAATAATGAGAGTACGAGCATCCTAGGCGTAAAGGTTTACAATTTAAAATGCTGAATTCTGATGTTTTCGC